AAACAAGATGAAGAAATAGTTGAGCTTAGCCAAGTAAAGACGTTAAAGCTCCTCTTCCATCAACTCTCTCCTAGAATTCCATGGAGAATTTAGCTAGAAAATGTCAAAACCATCTTACTCCTTCAAGAACTAGATATAGCCAAATAGAGCTCCATGAAAATAATGGAATCAAGCTTCAAATCTCCTTGCAAGTGATAGGGATGGGTTCATCTAAGTGAGAGAAATGGAATGATGGTGGTTTTGTAGAGGTTTGATGGCTGAATGTGGAGTTATGGGGGTTGGAAAAATGAAGAAAGTAGAGAGAAGGTGAAGAAAATGAAAAATAAGATGAACTAGAGAGAGAGAATGTAAGAAATGATGAAATGGGGTGATTGAATTTGATTTTTTGGTGAGAATGGAATGCTAATAGGTGTTTCTCTTCAACTAAAGCACAATTAAAAAATAAGAAAAGAAAATAAAAAGAAAATAGGAGCCTTAACACACTTGTAAAGTGACACCCTCCTATTAGTTTGTAGATGGTTCAAATGTGTGTATAATTAATCCTATGTGTCATCCACAATTTTAGCTAATCTAAACCACCACAAAGGAGCTCTTACACGTCCAAACCATCAGCCTTTGTCCCCATGGACTTTTGACTTTATTTACCCAATTGATACACAAGTCACATGCTACCTATGTCACATAAATCACATAATTTAATTAAATAACATATGATATTATAAAATCTAATTAAATTTCATAATTAAATTTATAATTAGAAGAGATAATTTATTTAAAATAACTAAATTTTAGGCTGTATAAATTATATAAAAATTTTCACATGAAGGTAAATTGAAAACTAGGTCAAACTAAGACATTTGAGAAAGTGTTGACTTTTTATTTAATTTCTCTCAAACTAAAATAAATTTTAAAAATATAATTTGACCACTCATCTTCTAGACATAAAATTCACTTTGTCAATTTTTCTTATACATTTTCTCAAAAGTTCTTTTTGGACCAAAATATCCCCAGTGCACTAAATCTAGACTAAAGATGATTTTCCAATTATAATGAAATATGTGCACTTTTGAGGTGATAAAACATTAATAAAATGGTCCTAATTGATATAGATAAGTGTGTAATAAATGTGTTCTATCACAATGCATGGCACAGAATATGAGCTTGTGGCTTTATACCACATGTCACAGTACATATGGTACATGCCACGGCATATGGGCCAATTTGAGCAGAGTTTTGCCTCTATTTTCTCTTACAAGGTATTTTTGCATTCCTAAATGCTTTCATTGTGCATAAATACTTACTTTTGAGTGGTTTGAGTTATTTTCAAATAATTTTCAAGATCCCAACTATTTTAAAAAGATTTATTTTCTATATTTTTAATAATGGTATTTTAGGGTAAATTAGAGGTTTAAGAACTTCTAATTATCTTTATATGGTATGTGTGGTATTGTTTGGTAATTTGGGGAAGGACATTATAGTGAAGTTCATGAAAGACATAATCTAACATGCTCTCGTCGGAACTCTTCCAGACAATGTATATATATTGTCAACATTTTCATCATTATATTGCTTTTATTAATTAACATGACTTTAATTTGTTGTTATTGTTTTTGCATTTAGTACTATGAGGATGCATATTGCAATGTATATATTAAAGCTCAAAAGGAAGAAGTCCTTAAAGAATTAGCATGCAGTATTTTCAAAGAGTGGTTTAGCTATAATAATTAGCAACAGTGAAGAAATATATCATATAGATATATATTTAAGGTGGACATAGATTTAGTATACTTGGCCAACTTTTGAGATTTGGATCCTTATTTTGGTTGTATATAGCTGGTGTAGGAATTCATAATATAGATTTCATATATATGATTATTGTTGGCTATTGAATTTCTATTTTTGGGTGCTGGAGGGGATTACTAGAAATGCAATCCTCATTTAAAAAAAAAAATTGGCGACAATATTAAACAATGATTTGAGAAAACTATTTAATATTGTGACCAAATCTACAATGCAATCATATTCAATAGGTTCTCTATCTTGAATCATTGAATATTCTCCAAATGTGAAACAGTTCTATCACCATAAACGTTTAATATTGATAGAATATTCAATGGTTCTTGGAATATAACCGTTGAATATATTGTTTCCCATTTATCAACATTTAAATTTGAAATAAATATTAAATGGTTTTTACTATAGAAATATTGTCAGAATATTCAACAGTTACAAATAGTTAAATATATGCTATTGGAATTTTCAATGTCATATTACTCAATGGTTTGTAACTATTTAATATTAGCGAAAATAACTATTTTATATATAATTTTTTGTAATAGTGAATTTTAATGTATTTGGATCATATTTTGAATAGAAATAGTGATTGATTTGTTTTTGGTTGCTAGCTAGCTTATACATAGTTGATTTCTTTGTAAATATGCAGGGGGTTGCTTGAAAAGTAAAGTCCTCATCTTCCAAAAAAATACCATAAATACTAATACTTAATAATTATTATGAAATAATTATCATTGATGGTAACTTTTCACCAAGCCTAGCTTGGTTTTTAACCATAAATACTTGATGGTTATTTCATAATAACAGTCAAGTATTTGATAATACTTAATAGTTACTTCTAAATAACAATCAAGTGTAGACTTCCAAAACTAGCCAAAAGTCAAACTTGGAAGCCAATACTTGATGGCTATTATCAAATAACTGTTAAGTAAGACCCTCCAATACTTGATAGTTATTAATGGTCAAGTAAGGTGCCCTAATATATGGCCCCCCTTTACTTGAATTGGCAAAAATAATTGTCAAGTAATGGGGTCTTTTGTGGCAATGGAGATAGTTGAAAAATCTCAAGTGATAAGATTTGAAGACTGGACATAGGCAAGTGGATTAACCAAACTAAGATAAATTGCTTGTGTTGATTTCTTTCTTCCCTACTCCAACACTTATGGTAATATATTTCCTATCTCTCATATTGTTAAATTAAGTTACTATTTGCCAAAAGTTTTATAAGCCCAATTCACCCCTTTTTTAGGCATATTCATGAATCAGGGCCTTAAGAGCCAAGAAGGGGGAACATAGTTTTCATTCATTCATTAACTTTATGATTAATTTTCTCCTTCATATTATGACATTGTTTGTTTAAAACAATTTATAAAAAGTAGAGTAAAATATACTCGCTTCCTTTTCGTTCAAGAAAAAAAGAGAAAATTGGCTCCTAAAATATAGGCCTAAGAGCATTTGAGATATTAAACTCATTTTTGATACAATATTCTTCCTCAAATTTTGGTATAATCTAATCCCTACCATTAACAAAAGTTAACTTTTTCTTTGATAACCTCAAAACAATTTTAAAAAAATTACAGAAAATGACCTAAAACTAATTGTTAAAGTTAATAGTTAATGATATGAGTAAGATTGCACCATTTTTTAAAATTAAATGAGAATATTACATCAAAAATGAATATAAAGTCTTAGACGTCCCTGGACCTAAAGTTTTGGGATGAATATATTCTCATTTGTTTGCATATAAGTCCTTTATATGAGACTATACATGATTTTCCCATTAAAAAATAATTAAATTATTAATATTGTTTAAAAAATTAATTTACTTTTATTAAATGCAGTATACAAAACATTTCATATTTCATATGTACTAATCTTTACTCTACTCTTCAAAATTGTGAAGGATAAAATTATAAAAAATAATGGTTCATTTTTTATGCAAAATAATTTATAAAGTAAATCATGAATTCGTCCAGAGAACTTGTATATAAGACCGGAGGAAATTAGTAATGTGAAAGGATAGTTGCAAATGTCTTTCGAAAAATCAATATCAATATTCTACCAGTAAAGTGATTTATAAATATCTATTGAACCATGGCGTCTATCACCATCCATTAGAAGTTTAAAATTACAAGTTATTTTTTTTTAAAAGTACTGTGTTTAAAAATATAAAAAATAAATATAAAAATATACTCCCTTGTTCAAAAATAAGGCATTTTTTGAAGAGTTTGATATTAAAAAATGTAAGGCATTTTCAGTCTTTCGAGGTGTAATCATTGTTTTTTTTTAAAGTGTCCCTATTAATAATGACTTTATATTTATTATAGAGTGTTTAATAAGGGTAATATGAAAAAGATAGAGTTAGTTGGAAAGTAGGTAACTATTTTATTGGAGGTGAGATTCGATTAAAAATACCTTATATTTTTAAATGGAGGGAGTATAATTTAAAAATACACGTTGTTGTTCCCAACTCTAATATCATTAATTAATTTACTAAGATTTAAATTAATTAAAAGTAGTATTCCCTCCATCTCAAATTATAAAACACTTTAAATAAAATTTCACATACTAATAAAATTTATTAAATACATTTAACAACCATATTTTTTAAAATAAAAATATAAACTTTTAAAAGTATCATTCATTTAACAATCTTAAATCTACACTTAGTTAGTATTAAATAGAGGGAGAAAGGGTATTACTAAAATAAGTTTATTTAATAAAATATTAATCTTCTCAAATGTCTTATATTTTATAACAGTAAATCTCTTCCAAAAGTTTGTTATAATTTGAAAATGAGAGAGTACTTTTTTTGGTCATTATTATATAATACTTTCAACCATTTTATACATATTAAAAAAGTTAATTTTTTTATATAATAAAAAAGTGAGATGTACTTTCATTTTTTATTCTTGATTTTAAATAATAATAAAACTGCATTAAGTATTTTTACACTAATAAAAAATGAGTAAAATTAAAAAAATTAATTTAATTATTATAAAATATTTTATATTTTAAATTAAAAATTATTTTTAAAAAGTATTTTACAAATACTAACCGAGCGAATATCTTATAACTTTAAATCATTGTATTTTTTACATGCATAATTGCACATGGTCCCCACGGGGAGACAGTATATTACCTTTCCCAGTATATTTATTTTTTTTAAATTCGAGTTATGATGTAGGTGTATTTTCCTTCTGCAGAGAATAAGGACTAATATTCCTGATGATTACAACAAGCCAGCGCAATAGGGAAATAATTCCCAATTAGGTTTGCATCTTACACATGTTAGTTAGGAATTAACCTCTAATTCCTTGCTAGGACAATAATTTTGATTTGAAGTTACGTTCAATTTTGATTTGTTAATTACTTTGTTTTGGAGAAATTGAATGCTCAGATTAGAAGTAGAAAAGGGAGAATGACAATTGGGTCTTAAGATATTAAATTAATGATAGTTAAGTGCTCAATAAATTTATTTAAAAAATAAGTTAAAAATATCAATTCAGATTATTATAAATTCAGGAATTTTAATTGTAAATAAGTATTTATAATTCATTTTGTACAAAATTTTAGGAAGAATTATATTGAATTTCATAAAAAAATTATTAAATTATTAATGAACCTTGTAATAATTAACTTTTTTATATGGAATCTAATTGTAATTGTCTCAAAATTTTATTGAAAAATTAATTATTATTAATTTATTCATTTGGATATTCTTTCAACAAGAAAATGTTGTCAGAATGCAATTTCAAGAAATTTCAGAAGCGTGGGTTTGATGTTATATTCAGGTGCGGTCCATTATGTTTACGTGTCCTTTATGTAAGGTCCGAGTTGACAACTTCAATTTGGCCTAATATGTATGTTTGTTAGTTGATTTTTGTGATTGGCCCACGTTAACCTATTTCAATTGGTAGCTTGAATTTTAATGCAATCGTTTTACTTTTTATTTTTAAGGATTAAATATTATTTTTTTTCCTAAATTTTTTTAAAAACACTGGACACATTATATTAAAATAATAATATTTTACCTAAACAATTTTTTAGGAGCAAAGTTATCCTTCTACTAGAGACTCGTCGTCTTTGCTATTATCTGATAATATGTAATGATTGTAAAGTCCATGTACAATGATAATAAAGTATTTTGATTCATTTTTTATTGTTTTGCCACCAAAATTAGGTTTGGTTCCCACCACTATCATTTCTAACCTCTTTAATTCATGAAATTAGATCAAAATGTGTTCATGTCAATGTAGGGTCTCACAGCTAATGCACATTAGCAAGTAACAAATAAGATCATGAGTTTTTGATGGAAGGACAATTTTACTCTCGAAAGAATTATTTAGGAGAGAATATTGCCAGTAAAAAAATAGTCTTTAATTCTTTTTTTAATAATACAATATTGGCTCTTTTTTTTTTTAAAAAAAAAACAAAGTGAAAAATGTTGTTTGATGCAGAGAAAGAAACAATGGGAAGACTTGGTGGAAGGCCAAAGGCTGATGACATGTGGAAACATGTTACGCTATTGGATTTGAAAGGGAAGCAAGTAAAGTGCAATTATTGTGGACTTGTATTTGCAGCAAGTGCTAACAGGATCTAAGTCTCATATCAGCCTAATTAAGGGTCAGGGTGTTCGAGTATGCCCTGCCAAATTGAAAGAAAAAGAGGACCTTCTTGATTCACAAGGTACGAACTAGTCTTAAGCAGCATCTAGATGGATCGACTTGGATTTAAACTTTAAATTTAAAATTTCATATTTAAAATTCATCTATTTAAAATCTTAGATTTGAATAATATAAAAATAAAATAAAATTCAAAGACGCCACAATGAACGAGGGAAGTGGGAGAAATGAAAACGAAAAGAATGAGATGGTTAGAATAGCTTGCATTTCAATTACTTAAGGGAACATCATTCATGAGTCACACAGAAATTGATTAAATATTTCAAATTCCATGAGATATTTTATTGAAAGCCAAGAGGACGATATGCAGACCTGCATGTGAATGGCACAAGCCATTTGAACCGATTTGCCTGAACTGCATGAAGCTTTTCAACCTTTAACATCGGAGACGAAAGAGGTCGACCTGCTGAGACAAGGCAAGGATGAAGAGGTCCTAACAAGCCTATGCAACTAAATTAATTCAGTGGGAGATTTTAGTCATTGCATTTCTAAACTTCGGTCACATTTGTTTACTAGAATAAAATGTAATGGAATGGATTAAAAAAATAAAGGTAAAAATAAAATAATTAAAAGGAATAGATGAGTACATTTATAAAGGAAAGATGTAATTTAGTTCATAAAGTCAAAAATTATGATTCACTATATTTTTAAAAGGTATGATGATTCTCACATTTATAATAAATATATTAATAAGTTATATCGTGCTTACTACAGAGAAAAGGGCGATTTACTTTATTTTTATTTTATTTTTCAATATATTCTATTACATTTTTTTTAACAAGCAAACAGGACTTTTGAGACTTGGAACTATAGAAATACTTTTGCATTTCAACGGGACTTTGAATTTTTTTTTTTTTATAAAAAGGATGATCATTGGTAAATTCTCGTTTTCAGAGGAGGAATATACTCAAAACTCTCAAACACCAATTTTGCTTTTAGAAAAAGAAGCAGAGAAACCAGAAACTAGAGCTGTTTGACTTTGAGCTTGTTTGTTTTTTATTTTTAAAAACTGTTTTTTATTTTTGAAAGCAAAAAATTTAAAAATTTGTTTGAATGAGTGTTTTTCATTTAGTTTTTTTTTAAAAATTTTTTCATTTTTTTTATTTTTTTTAAAAATAGAAACAACTTTAAGTTGTTTTCGTTTTATTTTTCTTGTTTTAAAAATATACTACATTTAATTATTAAAAATTATAATTATTTTGATCAATTTTTATTATTAATCATCACTATTAACTGCATATAACTATTACTATTAGTTCATTTTTAATTCTAAAATTATTTGTTAATTCTAAACATATTTTTATTTTATTTATTTTAAAGATAATTTTACAAACTGTACTACAAAATAGTTTTTCTTAAAAAATAGTAACATAAAACGAACAATTGTATAACAATTTTAACTATTGTTTTGTAATATAGTTTGGATAATTGTTTTTCAAAAAAAAATAAAAACAGAATATGTTTAATTTTATTAATTTGAAAATAATTTTAGACTAAAAAAAATTAGCTGATAGTTATGGTCATAAGGGGTTAATAGTGGTGACTTATAATAGCAATTGATCTCATAACTCACTTTACTTTCTATTAATCAAATTAAAGAGTGCGAAATTGAGAAATAAAAAAAATAAAAAAAATGACTCCAAGGTATTTTCATTTTCTTTTGTCTTTGAAAATAACTCTAACAAATCAATAGAACAATTTTAAAAATATTTAAATCCAAAACATTTACATAAACAATTTTTTTACAAAATATTGTTTTTGAAAACAAAAATAATTTTTAAAAATAAAATCAAACAGTCCTCATAACATCCTAATTTAAATTTTAAAAATTAATTAGAGTTAATAAAAATTAAAGAGAACATTTTGTTGGCATGGTTTTGGAATTCAAGTACGGAGCATATTGTCTCTTAAAGGTTTGTCAAGCATGTCAGAAGAGTAAGCCCTTGAAATAAGAAATAGATTAAACAATTATATGAATTCTCAAGATCCTTTACTATAATTTTCTCAAAGTGCCAAAACTAAATGAAAAACGAAGAGTACGCAATAGAACATACAAAGTTTGATTGTATTACTGAAGAGTAAGCACAATTGGTGCTCCGGTAGTTGGAAAGAAAAACAAAGTAATTATCCTAGGATGCCTAAGCCATGATAGCAAAAGGAGTCACACTAGCCAAGCTTGGGGTGATGTGGGGTTAGTTTGGGCCTGCGATGGGCAAGTTGATTCAGGGTTGAGTTGTCAAGCCTCTTATCGAGAAAGGCAACAACACGTTCCTTCAAATTTGAATTTTGGTGTCAAAAGGAGCTGTAACTGTTCGTGCCATTTTGGGAGTTAGTGGTGCGCCTCATTGTGGGAGAGTATTGGCTAGGCAGGTGCTTCATTTCTTCAAAAGGTGGGAGAAGTAGTGTGATGCAGGATTGCTATTCTTCCGAAATGCGTCGTTTCACTTAATTGTTCTTCAGGCTATGTAATAATGGGCTGCTCTTCTTTATTCTGAATTGGGCTTCACCATACGTATCTCTTAGCCTAGAGCATCAAGTCCAAATACATTTAAAGATAATTAAATTAATTAGAATATAATTATTGGACTTAATTTAGGACATAGTCCTTGGAGGTTAAGATTTTAAAAAAATGGAAACAATATATATATATATATATATATATTAACAAATTTTAATGGAGTTAATATTTATACATACATACATACATACATATTATTTTTCTCACTTGCGAAAAAATATTCATTTTCCATTGAAATTATGTTTAAACAAATTATGCAAGCAGAGTTTTATTTTGAGAATATAATACAATTGAAAGTCAATAGTAGATAATTATGAAACAGGATTAAAACATTTATGAAGACAAATATACAAAAGGATAATAATAAGTAAGGTTAAATAAAAATTTGAATCGATTTAAGAGCAATTTAAATACTAAACTCATTTTTTTTGTGCATTTTAACTCTTAAACAATTACATCCGTGGCAATTTGACCCATTAATTTGAAATTTACACCGTTGCTTTAATGCTTTAGTATCCCTCCCTCTGCGTCTCTGACCGATTCCTCCCTCCCCTCTTTCTGTTTCTCTGCTTCTCACAGCAAGCCAGCATGCAAATCTTTCTTCTTTAATTCCAAGTCACCCTATAATCGATCACATTCATGCATGCTCAACAATCACCTTACCTATGACTTGTTTGGTAATCTGCTTCTACTTGAGCTCCAAGTGACCCCATTCCAATTCCTATTTTTATATGATAACATTAATTCTCTGCTCCAACAATTTGGACTTCACTATCCTCCACTTTTAACATTGTTCACTGTCCTTCACTATCCTTGTCGGCCTCCTGATTCTCATCCTCTGGTTTACTACTCTCACTCTCCGACTACCCCTCTCCTTACTGAAAGTCACTTTCTTTTATAGCTTATGCAAACAGGCCCTAAATCTTTTTTTTTTTCCCCCATGCTTTCATTGATTGACAATATGCATGGGATCAGGAACGTTTTACTTCTCCATCGTGGATGTAGTGAAAATAATCATAACTAGTGTATTTAACCAACACATTTTGTTATTTGTAATATTTCTCCGCCTAAAGATCACAGCATACTTTTGTATTGTGGATTGTGATAATTATTATATTAATTCTAAATAAGATATATCGGCTTTTTAATTATGATACATATGAACCAAGTGAGAGTTGATAATTTAATAGCCTTGTCATCATCATTAGTTAATGTCATGGATGGGCTTAGTACATGATGGACCGGATTTATGAGAAAGCAACTTTGGGCCAAGAGCTTGTAATATTGGGCCTATGCCTCTGCTGAAGCAGTTTGAGGTTTGAGATATACAGTGAGAGATACCAGCACTGTAGAGGCAAAGAATTATTTTGATGAAATTGTCCCCCTCTGTTGCTTCTCTTCTCTCTGATATTCTTCCCTGTTCCTTCTGCAATTTCTACTTCTCCTTGTATCTTTTCTTCTCTCTCTCTCTCGCTATTGCTTGTAATTTGGAACTTGCTCATTTATCCTTTTAATTCCAATTCCAGTATCACATTTTGTGGTCAATTTAGAATTATATTGTTGCTGGAAATCTCAGTACATCACAGTTTACAAGTTAGTTACAGTTTACAAGTTTGAATTTCTCTGTTGTGACTTCTGCAACAAATTGATGTACTCATTATTGCGTTATACATATAACATGTAGGTTTATCAGCATTCGATAAGCCAATAGATTACATCAAACCCAATGAAACAATGCTTGATTGTTACATGTCCCCCAAAATAATGTAGGAAGGGATAAAGGCTCTCCAACAAGTACAAATCCACACTAAAGCTATGCATCAAGAGAGGTTCCAAGTTGGCCCCTTTTCTGTTTCTCATATGGTGAATGAACCTGACTTGCGGTTTGACACAATATGTTTTTGAACAATCATGGTTAGATTTATATGTATTTCGAACTATATTACTAAATAGTATTTATGTGTATTTGTTTCTAAGCTTAAATCAGTCATTTTATATTTTATTCAGTGAGACAACTTTCTCTTCACCACCACGTTTATATTTGAATCAATCTGAATTCACCACACTTAGACCGCAGACTAATTTGGATTCTTCGGTGAGTATTTACTTATATTATTATTCTATTTTTTGATATAATTAAGCAAGGTCTTGGTTATGTTAAAGTATTCAATTTTCCTATTTTCCTAGGTAATAGATATTTTTGCTGATATCTTGACTGACATTGAAAGGAAGAAAAGTAAACCTTTGAATTGGTATCTTCCGGTGATGTTTTCGGTGATATCTTATTCCCTTTTTAATTGGATTATATATGTTAGTTCTTGAATCTAAAAAAATCATTGACAAGCATGTTTAATGGTTCTTTTGTTGTAGAATGTAGCCCTTAATAGTGGTGATTTATGTTCATTCCTTAACTTTGTCGAACTGCATCAAATATGTGAGAATTATATGCCTCACTTGATATATTGTGAGAAGGTATTATCTTTTTTCCTTGCTCGTTGTAGTTGTTGTTTCATTTGTCATTATGATTTCTCATTTTGACTTTATTAATTGATTTATTTGATCAAACATTATATTACATATATTTACTCCAGTTTATATTGGAAAAAGTTCATCTGGACATTTTTATTTATACATTATTAATATGAGGAATCAAGAGGTTGAGATATGGGATTCTCTGTGTGATCAATTTATGAATAAAACTAAACGTGATCAAACAACACAAAAGTTGGTAAGTTTTTTATAGTTGTGATTTTTATTTGATTATTAATAGATTAATACATTGATATTTTAATTCACTAGAATTAATCATTTGGATGTAGTTGCTTGCCATGGAGAAACTCTTCAAGGACGTTATCATGTTCACAAAATTTTCTCGGAGAATGGCAAGAAATATCCAATTACAGCCTAATGGGTGAGTTTTTTTTTTTTGACATTATAAACTTTATTTTAAAAAAGTGTGCATCCTAACAATATCCTTCAACACGTAGATATGATTGTGGAATATTTGTTATTAAATATATGCAACAATCGGATAATTATGTAGGCAAAATCCTTCATTTCAGGTATGGTAACTTGCAAACTAGATAGTGTTAAATGCTCTATACATATCAATTCAAACGTTCACATGTATATGCACATAGATGGATCCAAACACTCTCAATCATACATAAATAATATAGACAAAATGCGTAGTTTGACAGTGACAAAGAGAGATTGGATTTGGCTTTAAAGTTGCTCAAGAGCAACTTAAACCAATTAAAAGAAACACTATATGATAAAGCAGCAGGAAGCTACACACAAGTTCAAAGTGAAGAAGATGTAGATTCACGTGGAGTTAAAAAAAAAAAAAAAAGCAGGTTGGTACATGCAAAACAATATTTGAAGATGCTGGAAGAAAGGCACAGATGGAATTGGATGATTCCGATAATAGAGTCAAGAGAAAAAATGTTAGCTTGAAAACAGGTATATACTTCAACTTAAATTATATATACAACACTTCAATTCATATACTCTTTGTAACTTTTCTTGAAGTAAGTAATTGCTATCATCACATCATATTAAATGATTATCAATTTGTTTTAATTAAAGACTTGGTGAAGGATATATAAATGCAATATTTCAATTTATTTGTATTTTATACATTCTTCTCACTTTTCCTGTGTATGAAATAAATAGTTCAAGTTGTCACCTTATATTAATTGATTATTCATATTCTTATTGCTAGGATGTGTTAAAGGTTACATATTGCCAACAACTGAGTTACTGGGGGAAGAGTTTCGAAGTTATATTCAACAAATATGGAAATGGACAATGGAAAATGATCAAATCTCAACAAATGCGATATGGGGGAGTGGGAAGGGCAGGGAAAACAACATTAGCAACTCACATGCATAACAAGCTTTTAGAAGAAGCCGGTGATGACTTTGACCATATTATTTGGGTTACTATGTCACAGTATGATAGCATATATGAGTTGCAAAAGGCCATAGCAAAATCAATTAATTTAGACATATCTGATGATTGTGATGTAAAAAGAACATTGGGAAATTATTGCAAGCATTTAAGCATATAAATAAATGTGTCCTTATTTTAGACGATGTTTGGGATCCTATATTTTTGGAAGAGGTTGGAATTCCTGCTTCAAATAATATGATTAAATTGATTTTGACATCTCGTTCATTGGAAGTGTGCCAAAATATGAATTGTATGAAGAACATTATAAATGTCAAACCTTTAAATGAAGAAGATGGATGGGAATTGTTTGAAAGGACTCTTGGTTAGAGAACATAGCAAGGAACGTGGCAGAAGGATGTGGGGGTTTGCCCCTTGGTATTGTAACGATAGTAAGACGCATGAACGGAAAAGAACACGATGGAAAATGGGGTCATTCATTGGAATGCCTTGAAAGCTTTGACAATGGGCAATATGGTATGGACAAGCAGGCATTTCTAGTACTGAAATTTAGCTATGATTGCTCAAATAACAAGTTAAAAAGGTTGTTTTTGCACTGTGCATTTAGTACTGAAGAATATTTTGAAGACGGGGATGCTAAGCATTTATCAGAATATTTGTCTTTGGTGAATGGAAAGATGACTGAGAGAGCTTGGCGATGCAGTGTAATGATGGCTACACAATGTTGGATAAATTAAAGAACAATAGTTTGTTGATGAAATTATCTTGCGGATGAAGAATGCACACTTTGCTTTGGGTCATGGCTATTAGTATTGCAAAGAAGGGTATGAAAATTATGGGGAAGTCTAGAATGAATTTGACAGAAATGCCAAAGAATAGTGAATGGCATGAAAATTTGCGAAAAGTTTTTTTTTGAGTGGAAATAGGATTCATAAGATTCTAGATAGCACATCTCCTAAGTGTTCTAAACTTTCAATGTTGCTTTTAGATCGCAATTATGTCCTCAAATGGATCCCAGATGATTTTTTCAACAATATGCCTACTCTTAAAAGTATTGGATTTGTCTAAGACTGGCATCCAATGTTCACCCGAATCTGATTCTAACTTGGAATGCCCCTTCGCATTATTACTTTCAGAATGTTGGAAATTGAGTTACGTGCCTTCTTTAGTAAAATTGCAGAAATTAATAACATTGGACCCTTCATATAGTGCCATCATGGAAGCACCTAATGGCTTTGAATTGTTGGTCAATCTTAGATGTCTGAATCTAGAAGGTACAAAACAACTGATAATGTCAGCATCAATGATATCCAGAATGACCAATTTGCAGGATCTAAGATTGAACTGTATCCCAAAATCAATGGATGTGAGTGCTCAAGATCTACAAGATTTGAGAAAGCTGGAAGTTATTTCAGCCAACTTTTGTAGCATTGAAGAGTTTAATGCCTATGCTACGAGTTTCATGGACAAAGGTTGCATGCTCAAAAGTTATTGTCTAAGTTCAGCTACGTTATTTAATTTCCATTTTGATGAGGGTGCGCGTAAAGCCTATTCCTTAAAAAGGGTTGGTTTTTGTGGTATTGATATGAGAAACAGAGCAACAGTAAGACGTCAATGAGTTGATTATAGGTAAGTGTCACCGTTTGAAAGACTTGAAACAAGTAGTTGCACCATTTGCTTCATCCTTGTACAATTGCACCCCATTTTCTCACCTTAGTTCTCGATATTTATGGATGTAGCAACGTGAAGATTCTGATTACGCTGGAGTTATTAGCACAGGCCCGACCGGTAGTCTCCATAGGAACTTGGCTCTACCATAAGGGAAAGTAGATAGACGGCTCTACGTTTCAGGCTCGAAATCTCTCGTCTTTAAATCAGAAATAGGTCTTTCAGAAGATAGTGAATTACTGGCGTGAAGCAAGGGTGCATGGCAGGCTAGCTCTTTAGTTTATCCTGATCCTACGTGACTTGGTCAAAGATGAATAGTGAATACTCCACCCCGGGGATAGATAGTAGGCAGATTGACCTTTCTTCGGAGATCGGCTCAACCCATAAGGAAATAGATTACTACTTTTTCTAAGTGTAATTGACTATTGTCGATCCATTATTTATGAGACCCGAGAAAGGACTTTTTATTTGCAGATCAATCATAATTGAGGAATTACTTCGTGACAAGAAATGCTACCTTCCTTTTTTTTATGGCATTCTACTAAAGCAATAGTTTTTTTATGTTCCCAAGGGAACCAGGAACAGCCCATCTTGGAGTTGACCCTACATCCACGGATTTCTAACCTAGAGACCATTTCTATTAGATATTGCAAGTCAATGGAAGAAGTTGCTGGAGATGATTGTAGCAGTACTCTCACTCTTCCCAAACCGAGTTCTCTGTACTTGGAAAACAACCAGAATTAAATTTCATGTAGAGGAACCATACTCTGCCCTTCTCTCAATAATTTTGTTGCCTCTAATTGTAAGAAACTAAGCTACCCTCATTTAGAGATTGTAGAAGGATATAAGCTTCAAATAAAGAGACCAAGACCGACAATAGATACTATTGGAGACATGATGATAAGGTACATGTCTCTCCTCCAAAGGTCACCTTTCTTGGATTAAATGAATTTCATTTTATCTTTTATAATTTTAATTTCTTATTCAATGTTGAAATGAGTTTTTTGTTTGAAGCTTGGCAAGATTTTCATTCTCTTTGTAGTCCCTTAAAAGACGGCTAGACAGCGATTCCTTGATTAACTTTATTTCTTGAGAATGCGTTGACGTATTAAAAAAAAAAATAGAGAGAAAAATACTGGGTCTATTTAAAATTATTTTTATTTATAGTTTTAAGAACTGATATTTTGTAGAACATATTTTGAGAATAAAAAAATAAAAATAAAAATAGTTGTTTTTCTTATTCTCTCTTATTCTTCATAACAATAATTCTAAAATACCTAAAAGATGTTTCTGCTTTTCTATTCTACAAAACGATATTTTTTTATCCTCTAAAATATTTTTTTAAAAAACATATTACCAAACAGATTTTTTTATTTTTTTATTCTGATGAACAAAAAATTATTTTCAAAATAAGTTGCCAAACATGCCCACTATTTTTGCTTCAGACTCGTGAGTTCTAATAAATGTTGAGTCAATTTTGTAGGTTTTGGTGTTAGCTTTCAAAACCAACTTGATCTGGGCCAAAATTATTTTGAGGGGAGGGATTCTCAAAGTTCATTCTTTATATTTTTCATTCTTATTCTTCCTTTTTTTTTTGGTTAAATATGAATATCAAATTTCCATTCTTTGATTGTATTGAATTTATGATAAGCTGAAAAGATATTTTAAGTACCTTACTTTATAGATATATACGATGAAACCATTGAATATGTTTCTATTTTGGGCACCCATAGATTAGGCAATTTCTTTAAATTTTTCGTAGGAAATTGTATATATAGAATGGAAATAATTATGTTTTGCATGCCCCAAACTCTCCCCTCCACCCAATATGTTTTGAAATAAAAACTCAACTTTGACGACCTTTCTTGATCTGATATATATTATATGCTTCCCCCAAATTAAATAACGGAAAATGAAAGAAACAATATTTAAAAAAAAAGTTGTGAAGATTATATACTTCATTCAGCAGAAAGCAAATTTATATTCCAATGCATTTCACTTGTAAATGTGATAATTGAGTTGTAAATCCTAGTAGATTTATTATAAATGTTTTTGTTTTAATATACAAAAACCCATAATAATGTATGATACTTGAAAAATTCAAAAGGTTGATTGCGAATATTTTGTAAGTAATTTGAGAATCTATTACTGATTCTACTCATCATGTTCAATTGTCTCTTGCAAGTTGGTTGTTTTAAACAAGTTTGAAGGAATTCTTTTTTTTTTTTTCATTTGAAGGTTCTTAATGTGAACTTGTTGTCACTAATTATACTCTGATTCAATTGTTGATTCAGGGATCTTACAATGAATCTGAATGACGAAACTCGGAAGGAATTTCGTGAGTACTTGATGACAAGGATGGGATAGATTGATGGGCTTCTATGGAATTTCCAAAATCTGTTATGATGATGTAATGTTATACATATCAAGAGAGTTAAGCAATTTACTGTCTAACATTTATAGTATCTAATTTTTAGTTCGGACCTTCGAATAAGATGATCTGAGTGCCCACACATAGGTAATCAAATAAACTAATTACTGACTTTGGATATGCTACAAACTGACGACATCAAGGAAATATGGGCTCCTAGAACGATCAACAAAATTTTACCAAAATACAAGGCAATTAAATAATACAACCCCCAAAAATTGACCAATGAGCAATGCTAGCTAACTTAACATACCTGTGGTTTTATATTATGAGTCGGGGGAGATAAGGATGATAGTTCAAACCATAACAGCTGTGAAAGAATTGTGTTAGTGCCATAATTAGAGTAGCGCAGCGAAAATATTACAGGAAAATTATTAAAGAATTAAAGAGCTAGATTTAATATTTTTGTAGTTGTGTAAAAGTTAAACTGAGAGAGAATTTGGAAGATCAAGGTGAAAGGAGGTGGGAAAGCATCTAATATAATGTTTCAAATATTTTGGAGAAAAAATTCTTAAAATAAGGGAAGAATTATAACATCTTAATTTATTTTTAAAATTTAAGTAATATTAAAAGAATAAAAATCTCAAGGTAAATAAAAATTACCATGTAATTACTTGAATAAAGAAAATATACTCAGAATGGGTTAAACGTTTTGCGAACTTAATGCTAAGTCATATATTTTAAAAAGGGAAAAAATCAATATGGTTAGTTGTGATAAAAAAATTATTTAAAGTATTTTTCCAAAGCAACTTATTATAAATATTTAAATATTATGAAGATTTTATTTGAACAAAATACACAAATTTAACTTAGTCCTTTAAATTTTGAAGAACATATGTATGTATGTACTATAGATGGAATTTTAAAGAAATAAGAAGAAGTAGAAAAGAAAATAATGAAGTTTTTTTTTTTTTAACAAAAAAAGATTTGGGGGTTGGATTGAGACCAATGGGCTATGGCCCATTAGTCATGCCACCTAATATTAGATGGCAAACATTTTCATCCGATCCGTTTGGTTTGCTTACCTTTCACATTCGACTTTTGAAAATTTATGAAAGAAAAATTAATTATTTGAT